GCATATCCCATAATGCATTGCAGCCCGACCAGAGATTTTTTTAAGCTAGTAATGGTGGACGAAGCGAGAGAAAAGAATACTGTACCCTAACCGTGGAGAGCCGTTAACCAATATGTAAATTAGCCTGCAGTACCACTGCTCTACCCATATGAGCAGCAAAAAGACGTTTTTAGACCAAATATTACAGATTTGAACAAATACGCACAAAAACATCACAATTAGCACAGAAACAGTACTATATAACATTTTAGACACATTCTAGACAGTTTATCAGCTAAAACAAAAAGGTAATTTGGGGTAAGTTACTCTTTAAATATCTAACAAAAAAAAGACATTCAATTTTCCAATCCATAAGAATAAATATAAGCATTTAGATTTATCAGTGATGGTTAATATGATTCAATGACAGAGTGCTTTTAATTGATGCCTCCTCAAACCACACATACATAAATACAAACAAATGGAGTTTAAAATGCAGTAATTAATACAACTGGTATTGTAATTTTTCTCTGTTTGCAGCAGGGTCATCAGGTGTAGTTTACCCCTTCACAATATTAAATAATTGTATTTCTAATAAAATAAGCTTAAATAATTACTGCAGAACATGACAAATTCTTTGTATATCCGATTACTCGATTAATTGATAGATTAATCGATTACTAAAATAATCGTTAGCTGCAGTCCTAATCCAAGTTCATAAGCTGCGATACAGCTTCTTCAACTGTAAATCGTCTGGTGCTCATTTTTGGTGCATTTCTCAAAGAAAGGGAATGGACACAGTGACAAGGACAGGGGAAATAAAGCCCCTCCTCCACACACACCTGGTTCTGAATGGCTACTCAAAGGCTATCAAAATAAAGTATATCAAAGAGACATGCTTATTTTGGATTTAACCAGCAACTTTGAGTCTGGGTCAAAACGACCCGCGACATCATCTTTGTATACAAACTCTGTGCAGGCACTCCATGACAGATCAAAGTGTTCAGGTTTTACACAGCACTTCATGACCTGAGATGGGGGAAAGTCACAATTTCATGGGGGAAAAGTAAGGATAACCTGCATTTTGGTCAACACAAAAACTGAAATGGGTCAAATTGACCTGAAACATAATACAAGGGTTAAATGGTATCCTGGTCTTTATTCAAGTACTTTAAATTGTGTGATTTTTTGTTTGAAAACATCAAGGACCGGACTAATTTGGTCAAAGGGCCGATTCTGGCCCACGGGCAGTATTGCTCAGATTTGCACAGTTCCTTTGATTTAACCATTAAACCTCGAGCTCCTGCTAGTAGATAACAAAACCACTTTATAAAACTTCATAATAACTACAGAATTACTTGTAGCGAACTTTAAAACCGTGTTTCTTATTTGTTAATAAACTCCAACTGGGTGAGGCTGAAGGAGTTCCTTCACAATAAAACTCCTTCATACAGGGAAGTGACCGCGCGGAGTCTCCAAACCGTCCGATAAAGCCCGGTAAACTACATTAAAATCAGGCAATAAGTTGTATAGAGAGTCTGGTGTTTTTGATACTTTACTACATGGTTTGCAGCCTGACAAATAACAACCAAAGCGTTTGTTGAGCAGAGTCATTGTCCTCTCCACCTGCTCCGTGCTCGGCACACCTCCACCCACCGGAAGCTTCACTCACCTTCTTCACTTCTTTCTCGATTTCCATCTTCAGGTCGGTCTGCGTCGACTTTCTTCTGTCTGAAAGAAGCTCGTTTTACAGAACCTGTTGTCAAACACTCCCACCGGCTGAAGAAAGGACAAGACGAGCCCTGTTCGCCAAGGTAAACAAGACCAACTGAAGTACTTCCGGTCAGGAGTTTCAAAATAAATCCCTTCATTTAGCAAACCGAAAAGAGATCGGTCTGATTAGTTGGGGAATAAAAATGTTATAGAAAATTAAGTGCTCAATAATTGTTTATATACATTAATAGGCATTGGGCATAGATTAAACTTTTTAATTGTGACTGATCTCAAGAAAGAGCTACTGAGAATAAGTGCATTTAATCTCATTATTGTACACAAAATTGCATAATGACATAAAGATGTTTAGAGCATTATGAAGGTTTTATATAAAAAGGTTCAATGCATTTTCAAAAGCTTTCAACTCGTAAGCCTGCCTTTTTTATTTGTCTATTTTTCTCCCACACGCTGCATCCAGCCTCGTCTGCAGAGGCCTCCCTCCTGTGTTTGTGTTTGTTTTAAATTTAAGGGATATTTCAGGCTGAAACTTCATAAGACAGTTCAGTGTTGCAGGACTTACAGATAACTTTATGAATTTTAAACTGAAAATGCTCATGGAGACGTCTGGTCATGTTTCTGTTCTGTTGCAACTCGTTTTCTCATTGGTTCATGTGACATAAAAAAACTTAATTGCATCAACACACATTAGAAAACTGCATTAAGCATCTGCTGCGTTAATGTAATAATAACACATGAATGTGTTCTCTACCAGAATCCTGTGAGTTTAAAGGCTCTGCTCTGTATCTTAGCTATTTTTAGGACTGCACTCCTCTGGACAGAGGACAGAGGTCTCTGAGGTTGTTTCTCTGTTTGCACCAAAGCTCCTGTTTGTGCAATTCTCATATATCTCCCAGTTCCAACAAGTCTGACTACCGGACACCCGGACACTTGAGTAGAACCACAGTCTGAACTGATCAGAGTAAGACTTGACAATGGAGACAGGGTTTACGTGTAAGCTGGGTCTCTTCTAGATTCAACCTGCAGGATCCAATATGGAGACCAGAATTATAATTTATGTTGATGTTGAAAGTTCATGCAAAATGACACAGTAATATAGTTTCTATAGTAATTCCAGTTTGAAGAAGTAACCACAATATCAACAGATGATTTGCTTAACAGCTGATACTTTGCTTTTAATGCATTTAGTACACATTTTAATACACAAATAGTATGTTGTGTTTACAGTTCATTTACTTCTGACAGCATGCCAAATATTTTCTGAGGGCATGGGCAGTATGTGACCCTGGCACACCCTGATTAATGTTTTTTATCTGCTTGTTGTGGACATCTTTTAAGATGATCTCGATTTGTAAAAACAGAGATTATTTCTGACATGATTCAGTCCAAAAACAGAAAATATAAAAGTGAAGTCTAAATAACTCATCTCCAAACAATCATACTGATTCGCTTATTCACCTAAATAAAATGTGACATCATCTTTAAAAAAAAAAAAAAGAATCCCCTTCTGTCTTTTTTTATTTTTATTTTTTATTTTATTTTATTTTTTGAAAGGATCATTGCCTCACTTCCGGTCAGATTCTTGTGTTTTGTTTCGAGCTTGACGTACGTTTCACTCAGGAGGTCCCATTCACTTTTCACGGTCGGAGGGGACACTTCCGCCTTTTTATCTAAAACCAATCAGGAAGAAAGCAGCCAATGAGTGAGCGGCAGGGGCGTGGTCTCAACATAACAAAGACCCTGGATTTTAACACAGTCAATCTGCTCATGTGAAGTTAGTTTATTTTTGTTCACTTTTGTTTATTAACTCCATTAAAATATTGGCATATTAGCAATTATTACTCCAGTGATCAGCAGATACAAGAATTGAAACAGGATTTTAGTTTTTGCTTGCAGCACTGCAGACTGAAGAGATCCTGGGATTTGCAATCCCACCTCAACCTTGTGGTTGTGTCTGAAACAGCTGCAGAGTTGCCTCAGTGACAGGAAATGGTTGTCAGCAGCTTCCTGTGAGTGACTCTGCGAGCTGGAAATGACATGGTTACGCCCTGACAGGTCAAATATGGTGTTAAAGCTGTGTTTTATCAGCTTCATGCTTCTACCGGAAACACTGTGTCTCTGTGGAGTCTGCCGTGTTGAAATCTCTCTGACAGACAGTTTACACAATGAGAGGAGCGCGCTGTCATCATATGTGGTTTCAGAAGCATAATTCAAATCTTCTGTTTACAGCTTCTGATGGGAATCATCTATTTTTAAAAAGTATTCCTGATGTTACACACATGCAGAGGTTTCCCTGGGTTGAGCAGCAGGGTTGAGCCCAAAAAGAACTTCCAAGGTTTTAACTATTGTTGCTTGTTGTCTATTGGTTTGGATGATTGATGTAAAAAAATATATATTTACAGTTTAAGAATTTTGCCATATTTTTTTTCAAACAGGGGCTTTAGTAGCATGTGGAAGAACCATACACAGCCACAACAGCCCAGAGCTTGCTCCTCATGCTGGTCACCATGGTCCTGGAGGACGTCTGCTGCATCAGATGCACCTGCTGCCTGGATGCAGCAGTCACTGACTGACACTCGGGAGGATGCTGGCTTCATGGCTCTGATAAAGCAGGGATGCAGCCTGGTTTGGCTTATTTCCCCTGGCCCTGATCATCCTGGGGTGGAGGTGCACCGCTGCGCTGAGTGAGACCCTACTCCTGCTGCAGACGAGATTCCCGTCAGATTTTGATGACAGATCAGTTTGGTTTTTGCTGAGCAGAATCTCCACGGTCCTGACTCATGCTCCTGGTAAGTGGATAACATCTCCTGGTTCTGTTCTCAACCAGCATGTGTTGGATTAGTTAGACTGGTTATGTTGGTCACTATAGTAGGTGAGGCTGAGGTTAGGACTACATCATTCCATCATATGCACCAGTGGCATCACGAGGCCTATTTTGGGGGGCTGGAGCCCCCCTAAAATATTTTAAAGCCCCCCTAAATTATTGTGGTGTAAAAAAATTTCATTTTACAAAAGTTCAATATGATGTGGTCAGAATAAATAACCATTTAATATTTCATTATTAACTGAAGTATATGATCATAAATCTGTCAGTTTCCCTTTAATTTATAGTGTAAGGTGGAGATCCTCTTTGGTGCGTCGTTATCCAATCCATTCCACTTGTTCATATAGAGAACTCCCCCACCACATGAAATCCAGTTTCACCCCTAATATACAGTGTGTAAAATAAGTATTGAACACGTCAMCATTTTTCTCAGTAAATATAATACTAGAGGCGCTAATGACATGAAATTTTCACCAGATGTCGGTAACAACCCAAGTGATCCATACAGACAAAGAAATCAAACCATAAATGTCCAGAAATGAAGTTATTTGTAATAATGTGGAATGGCACAGGGAAAAAGTATTGAACACATGAA